GTGTACCCAACTTCACCCAGTGCCCTTCACATTTGCCGGAAGAAACCGGAGTACAATCTTTATGGAGACGATGAATACTTAGAAGATGTGATTCTCTTCCATGAAGGAGACATGAGAGGATTCATAAGAGAGAAGAAACCTAAACGGAGACGAAGATGGCATTATCAGTTCTTACGGTGTTTTGAGTTTTTAGTGCCCCTTTTACGTCCTCAGTAATTAAACGCTTTCCCTTGGCTTGTACTATACATTTGATCTTTAATTTAGCCTTCTTCAATTGATCTCTTTTTCCCTCGAATAATTACATATACGAGGTACTTAGTTTGCTTTTTTTAGTAATGATAGCAGTTTGTGTTATGTCTGGGGGCGGAGTGTGGTAGAGTCCCACGGGTCCCGGGACCCCATAAACTTTCAAAAAAATACATATATATATTATGTGTATTTTATATAAATTAATAATACAATGTATATGTAAGGCGAAAGCTGTTTAAGAACATGAAGTCGGCGATGCAGCAATGGATGCATGTTTGAATTTAAAATTTTCCCTTAGGTGTCCCTTTTTGTTTTTCTCCTATATGTTAAGGAAAATAACTTTTTTTTGGCAAGGGAAAACAACATAAATAGTACTAACACTAATACATAGCAATTCTTTATGAAAACAATAGTCATTTAATTTATAAAAAACTGGTATCAAAATATAAAGTTACTAAGCGTATTTTCGAATATTATTTATTGGTTCGATATTAGTTTTTAATGTCTTAAATTAGTGGTTTTTTTTTAAAAAAAAGTGACTCCATTATATTTTGTTTTTGTTCTACACTAAAGTATGTATTATTATTGATTCATCGAAGATAGTTTGTATTATTTAAAGTTACTTTTCCCTATTTATTATTATAAGGTGCCATAAATAACCGTTCGTTTAGAAAGTTATTGGAATAAACATACTATAATGATAGGATATTATTTTTCTATATGAGACATAAATATTATTTTTCTAAACGAACGATTATTAATTTTCTAAACGAACGGTTATTTATGTCACTTCATTTTCTAAACGACCTTAATTTTATACTACGTATTAATTACATATTAGAGATATAAAAGGGTAGGGACCCCGTAACTCCGACTTTCTGGGTCCGCCATTGCCCCCAAATGACTTTCCTGGGTCTGCCTCTGGTTATGCCTAGCTTGGGAAGTACACTAGAAACCCTAAACTTCTTAAATTCAAGGTTCCTCATAACTCCCTTTAATGATAGATGTGGAATGGAAAAAAATGAGTATAAAAATGAATGAAAATAGTGACTATTTTTATTTGATAAATATGATGAGTAATTATTACGTAGTATTTCACGCTTTGCAAATACAACCGATTATGACACAACATTATGTTAAAATATGATAGTTGGTAGTAAATTATGTATTCAGAGAAAAATATGGTAGTAAATTACATATTTAGGGAGAAACATAGTATTATCTTTTGAAATTTTACTCTTCTACTCTTATATAAAAAATTTCCAGGAAACCTTTTCAATTAAGAGTAATTGCTAGCCAATTATGGTTGACGATTGGTATGAAAAATGGTTAAATACAAGTAGGTAACAAATGTGTAGTTCCTAAGATATGGAATGTAATATTCTACTCTGAACTAGTTTGGTCTATGGTGGATGGTAATTCTATGTGTATTTTACAACTTGAAGTTTGATCGAGTTAAATTTGGCCTAATCTGATTAAGGATCGAAACGAGTCCAATTAAAAACATTCTTCATACACGAATGTATTGGACATGTTTTTAATTAGGGCGGGCATGGTCCATGATAGTTGGTAATACTATCAGAACCTAGCTAGCATGGACGATGTAATTTGAAATTAACGTTACAGTAAAGTTTCAGGATGCACCACAAAACCATTTGGTACCATTGTGTTTTGAAACGGGACAACACCATACCATGTCGACACAATAAAAAAAGGGAAAAGTTCAGAAAAGGTACTTGTGGTTGAGCCCGTTTTCAGATAGGGTCATGTGTTTCATTCTTTATCAAAGTGATTCATGTATTTGAATTTCGTTATCACAAGAGGGTCACGTCGTTAAAAACGTCTGAAAAATACCATTAAAAGTAACTCATATTTTCAAAAGTGCCCAAAAATTTTAAAGAAAAATACCGAAAGGTGCGCCTCAATAAGATGACCGCTAGACCATCTTTCTTTTTTATTTTCAGCCACCCTTGTCACCGGAAAGTCCATCGGAAAAGTGATATTAGCAAAATCAGTTTTAAAAAATAATTCAAATAGATCTGAAAAATCCAAAGACGAAGGTGGTTTTGGAGGTCATCTTGACGAGGCGCACCCTTTAGTATTTTTCTTTTAATTTTTCGGACACTTTTGAAAATCGAAGTTACTTTTATGTCTTTTTCAGATGTTTTTAACTGTGTGACCCTTTTGTGATAACGGAATTCAAACACATGAACTACTTTGATAAATAATGAAATACATGATCATATCTGAAAACGGGCCCAACCACAAGTACTTTTTTCGTACTTTTCCCTAAAAAATGTCCTAAATAGGAGTGAAATGTACATCATTTTTGAATTTCAAAGTATGAAAACTATGTTTTTATTTTCTAAATAGAAGTAATTACTGTCATGTTTTAGTATTACGTACCAAGCTTTAAACATCACAATAATCTTCCATCATAATAATAATAATTACTCATATTTAGGAAATAAAAACACATGACTCGTATTTTGAAATTTCAAAACATTTTCACTCAAATTTCCGAAATTCTCCCTTCAAAAATTGCAAACATCTAAATATTCTAGGGTCTCTTTTTAACTATGCCAATAGGCTAGCTATAATGATAACAAAAATATAAAAAATAATTATTTTAAATCTAACACTCAAATTGAAACACAATAAATTAATACTGAGTATAATTATAAATTATGTATCTTCTTAGTAGTTAGTGCGTATATGCCTAGTAACTTGTTAATTTTGTATGTCTAGTATGCCATTAGACAATACTAATCGTAAATATAATTATAAATTATGTATTTTCTTAGGAGTTAGTATATGTCTGGTAAGTTGTTGATTTTGAGCCGTTCGTATACCATGCAACCGTCTCACGGTGCACATGATATACCATCCCAAATTGCAGTGGACTTTGTTATTTTTTATTTCTCATTTTCTTAAAAATGTTAATATTTTTTTTTTTGATCCGATTTTTATAAAATTTATATCAAAATTTTTATTTTTCATGATCTTTCAAATGAGACCAATATTGCCTATGTAATTTTAACATATTAACATTTGCGTGTAAAATATGTAACTTTACGTGTTAAAATATGTAACTCACGTTCAATCAGGCCAATTGCAACTCGTGTGTATAAATATGTAACTCTACGTGTAAAAATATGTAACTTTACGTAAAAAAATATGTAACTCGCGTTCAGACAGGTCAAATGCAACTCGTGTGTATAAATATGTAACTGCGTGTATAAATATGTAAATTTACGTGTAAAAATATGTAACTTGACGTGTAAATATTTGTAACTCGCGTTCAGGCATGTCAAATGCAACTCGTGTGTGTGTGTGTGTGTATATATATATATATATATATATATATATATATATATATATATATGTGTGTGTGTGTGTAACTCGCGTGTAGAAATATGTAACTTTACGTGTAAAAATATGTAACTTCACATATAAAAATATGTAACTCACATGTATAAATACCTAATACAATAATTTTTTTATATACACAATTTTAAGATAAATTGTGATTTACACAATTATTTTTCTGTATTAAATTTAGTTCGATTTTCCTTATAATCCAATTAATCATTTATATAATAGTTCCATAATTTATTAAAATTACATAAGCAATATTGGTCTCATTTGATAGATCATGAAAAATAAAAAAAATTAATATAAAATTTATAAAAATCGGATATGAAATAAAAAAGTTATTACAATTTTTAAGAATAAAAGGAATAAAAAATAATGGAACTGGGTGACAATACTCCGTCGTTTTGCAACCAGGCGCACCATCCTCATGGTGCGTCGGTTGCACGATATAATCTGCGGATTTTGTGTGTCTAGTATGCCATTAGACAATACTAATCGTAAAATAATTCATCAAAGGCTCGAGTTTTTATAATAAGTATAACAACATTATTACATAATCAAAACGGTACGTTTCGGAATAATCAATTTATTACGAGAAAATTGCCGGTTGTAGGACCAAATCATAATATTTTTACAAAATTAGAACTGCCTAATGTTTGTTCCATCCGTGTCACACATGTACTCCTATTTTAAGAAACTCAATTATTAGCTTCCAAATTTGTCCCTTCAGCTTCAGTAAATTGATGAGTTTGAAATTCCCGAGTTCAGGAGACGTACGTCCCCAACTGGAGACACTTTCCCCCTACTTCAGGGGACGTACGTCCCCAACTGGAGATGCTTCCCCCCTACTTCACGGGACGTACGTTCCCAACTGTCTATTTATTATCTACTTATTGTTTATTTAGATGATCGGTTAAACTTGTTAAAAACGGCTCGATATACTACCTTCATCCTAAAAAGGTTCATCATGTTGATTTCTTTTATCAATAATAGCAAAATTTGGACAATGATTTTATTTATTATATTTTCATATAACTTATAAATTTTATACTTTTATGAAATTATTTAGAATAAGAAACATTTGGATAAAAATTTTATACTCCGTATTTAATTCTTTTGAGCGCAAATATCATACGGAGTACTCAGCTAAAAGCCCCGACACAAAAAAAAGAACATGAAATCAAAGGCCGTGCAAACCCGGCCCAACTCATAAAAGATGTACCCAACCAGCTGATGCCACGTATGGTGGCGGTTAACTTTTGAATCCTCCGTTGAAACCTCTTCAGGAATGGTTGCAAACCGAAACCTCGTAACTTCCTTGTTTGATATATATATATAAATCTCCGTTGCAACTGTCATTTCTTCTCTTTATCTTCAGGAAACATAAACTGTTCTATACACAGAAGAGATTCGATCATTTGAGTTCTGAATATTCCTATGAACAGAGTCTTCTCCAACCATTTCAATTGGACTTCTCACTATACCTCTCTGTCAATGGCTTCCATTCGTTCAAGCTTGCAGGAATGCGTCACCCCAAACACTCTCAGAGCCTATCTCGCCGAGTTCATCTCCACCTTCTTCTTTGTCTTCGCCGCCGCGGGCTCCACCATGGCTTCTCGTGAGTCGCCAACTTGCCCGCGTCACAAACTCTGTATTTATTACTACATCCGTCACAGATTGATTTACAAAATTGACTTTTCAATTTATGAATTAGTAGGTCAATTGTTAGTTATATTTTAATTTGGAGTTTGCAACTTTACAATGATTCTAATACAATTTAACGTATCAGAAAATGTTGACTTTTCAAATAAATTTGGGACGGAGGGAGTAGTACTTTTTATACTACTTTTAACTGGTTTGATGTTTGGTGGGCAGGGAAGATGTGGCCGGAGGCTGCTTCGGATCCGGCAAGCCTGGTCGGAACTGCCGTAGCCAATGCGTTTGCATTGACGGTGGCTGTTTATATTTCCGTTGGTGTCTCTGGAGGCCACGCAAATCCGGCGGTCACTCTGGCTAGGACTGTCTGCCGCCAACTTAATGTTTCAACGGCCATCTTTTACTGGATCTCGCAACTGCTTGCTTCAGTCATGGCTTGCCTCCTCCTAAAAGTCACCACTGTTCAACAGGTTTAATGTGAAACTTAATTAGAATAGCCTATAAGTTTTCTAATTTTCAAGTTCGCTTTAGTCATGCATGGCTTCCTTAATTTTCATGTACATTTCTTTTGATGTTCTTATTAAAGTTTCTTTTCCCCCCAAAAAGATACCCGAAGTACTTTTTTTAATTGCAATAGTTTGACTTTTATGTGTTTCAGCACGTTCCAATTCTCGGGATTCCAGATGAAATGACGGGTTTTGGGGCATCGATATTGGAGGGAGTGATGACATTTGTTTTGGTGTACACGGTTTATGCTGCCGGGGATAACAGGAAGGGTCACATGGGTGCCATCGGACCATTGACCATCGGGTTGATCGCAGGTGCGAATGTGTTGGCATCCGGGCCGTTCACCGGTGGAGCCATGAACCCGGCATACGCTTTTGGGACAGCTTTGGTCGGAGGGAATTTCCAGAACCAGGCAGTGTATTGGATCGGACCCCTAATTGGGGGAACCATTGGTGGTGTTCTCTACGACAAAGTGGTTTTTCCATCTTCTGAATCTTCTGATTCAATGGGGGGTTTGAGTGAGGTGGGGGGTGTTTAATGTCCATTATTAGTATGTGATATTAATGTGATTTGAGTGTAATTGGGCAGTTGTATCATGCATGTCTTTTAAAATGTCCAATTTATGTGTTAATTAGGTAATTATTAGCCTCTTCTCCTCTCTCCCGACCGGACTACAACAAGTTATTGTACGTTTTTAATTTTTTATGTCATTTGTAAGCTAAAGCATTCTTTTGGCATTTTAAATTTTGATGTGCTTCTAAAATTTGAGGGACACATTTAGCACATCTAACCCAATTCCGATCTAAAAAATTCACTAATATATGCTTTTTAAAAATTCTATATTATTCTTTATTATTACGAATTTTATCAATTCAGGACCCGAAAGATAGATTAATTATCAATTCAGGACCCGAAAGATGAAACATATCGGTATAGGACTCGAATGATGGAAACACAAGTTTTAGAACTCAATGATCTTTCCAACGAGAATATAATGCTTGCTTGAAATGCAAGAACATACAACAAAATATGACCGATCAAAGCAGATACTTAACATGTTTTCCCTGTATATTAGCGTTTTCAGAATAAATAAAACACATTTAGCGTAAATATAGTCTTGAATTCAAAATTTGGTTCATTAAGTAGCCAAAAAGTAGCCATCCTATAATATTTTGAAACTGATGTTTGAAACCTAATGATTACAAGTTTTAGAACTCGATAAGATCTTTCTGACGAGATATAAAACGCTTGAAACAGAACAAAATACATCAAGACACGAGCATATCAAATATTACACGAGTTCGGAGTGAAATCAGAAATGTTTGTCGTTTCAGGGTAATCTGTACCTTTTACTTAATACATTATAAATGAAATCGGAACACTAGTCTTAGAATTCAAAATAATCTTTCCAACGATATATAAAACAAATTGAAACAGAAGAACATACAACAAAATATCATGATCAAATCAAATATCACAAATCAAACAGGGGTGTCTGAGCACCTTGAGGGACCAACAAAGATTTTAAAATTTGTAAGTCATGTTTGGATACTATACTTTCTTAGGAGGAAATTGTATTGTATACATATATTAGAAATTGCATGTATTGTATTCTTAAAATACCTAAGTTATGCAGAGGGATACATTTAGTTGATTACCTGCAAATTGTACCATAGTATAAGTCCATATTATGAACGTGTTAAAAGATATTGGACGTTTTCTCAACTGGTGTGTAAGGTTTGCGGTATGCATCACATAGGTTTTCGGTACGAGATAAATATCGTCATAACTTTCAATTCGCTAGGTCAAATCCAGATATTCCATTGGCGTTAGATGTGTCTCTAAGATCTCTAAAACGCTTATGAATATTGTTGGGTTAATGGCCCAACAGGGATTGACCCATAAATCAAGGCCCGCCCTACGAATGTCTCCAAAGACATATGCCCAGCAGGGATTGACCCACAAACCCTTAAGGCCCACCCTACGAACATCTCCAGTGACATAAGCCAATAGGGAATGCCTCTCCCCTAAGCAGAGCGACGTACGTCCCCATCGAGCCACCAAGGCCTGATCCTATGGATAGCAAGTACGAAGGTCCAGAGGATGATGCAGGACATTTGGGGTCTGGGACTTGATGCCAGGCGGAATATAGAAGGCAAGCTTAGGAGGACGCTGATCTCCACCTCTTGGCGGGAAACAAAGATTCTGGCATTTAATATAAACACGTGTTACAAGGCGTGAGGTCATTCGTACAATTGATATGATACGAGCTGATTATGAAAGCGGGAATGCAAGAGTTCTAAGTTGTCAACCCTTTACAATGAAATAAATGCTACTATTTATACCGCCAATGGGTGGGTGGATATGCTGATGTGGTGGACTGTGGATGGCTTAGATCTCAACCACCAAATCTCAGCATTAAATGCGCTTCTTATTGGGTCTTTCCTTGCTTGTCTTAACCTCTATTTCACTATCTCTTCCAATCGAAACTTTTGGGTCGTGTGTTGGGCCTACGGGTTGAAGGAATAAAACTCAACAAATACTATAAGTCCAAATTATGAACTTGGTAAAAGATATTGGACGTTTTCTCAACTGGTGTATGTGTCAGGTTTGTGGTATGCATCACACAAGTTTTCGGCAAGAGATTAATATCGTCGTAACTTTTAATTGGCTAGGTCAAATCCAAAGATTCTTGTTGCATTAGATGCTTCTCTAAAATCTCTAAAACTCTTGTAAAGATTATAAGTCCAGATTATGTGTTATAAGATATTGGACATTCACTTAACTGGTGTGTAAGTTTTGTTGCATGCACTTCACATGTTTTAGGTATGTGTTCCTTCTTTGTCCCAATCATAAAAGAAATACCCCAAATCAAAGCCGTTACATTCTAAATATGTTGTATTATAAAATTAAGATTTTTTAGTTTTTTCAAATTTTCAACTTTGATTTTTTTTATTTTATTTTTGAAATTTTTATTTTTGATATTTTATATCTCACACACTAATTTCTTTAATCTAAGTTTCAGATTTTAAAAAACTTAAGAATTTTAATTTCGATTTTTATTTTATTTGAAATATTTTATACTTTTATTTTGTATTTTTATTTTACCTAATAGAATTCATTTTACTTTTTTTTTTGAAACTTTTCAAATTTTGTGCGTTTATTTGAATTAACAGAATTTTTTTCTCTACACATATTCTGTATTTTAAAAAGTTTCACTCTTCCTAAACATTTATTTGAAAGTTTATATTTTGATAGAAATTATATCATATCTATAAAAGTTACATAAAATTTTTTATTTAACTTGTTTTACAACTTTCCCACATTTTAGCTAATATAAATTTTTTACTTTTTTTCTAGTTTTTTAATTTTGAATTTTCTATTCATCTATTTTACTTTTGTCATATTTATTTTTCAAAATTCTAATTTATTTTATTTTATTTTTAAAATTTGATTTACATGTTATCAATTTTTTATTTTCAATATGCATTTCTTGAATTTTATTTTTGGATTTTTGTTTTTCTATATCCTGAATTAATTTATTATTATTATTTTGTGTTGTAATTGTTATCATAATTTTCAATTTCTATGAGTATAAGATTTTTTTATGTATAGACAATTTTTTTAGTAATTGCTCTCCATAAGAACTAAAAGTTGGTAATATTCAATCCTACATGCATTGTGAAGAGTAGAGTTTCCCGTAGATCCGTTTTGGATTATTAGTCCATTTGTAAAAACAAAAGTTTAATTAGTCTATTTTGAAAAAGTCTTTAAAAATTGTAAAATGTAGTACTTTCTCTGTCTCATTTTACTTGTGTTATTTTTCTTTTTAGATTTTTCCAAAATAAATGTTAATTTTTCTTTAATATACTCAAATGTTAATTATAATAAAGTAAGAGATATAAAATGGGACGATGGTGGTATTACTTGTGAAAATTTCCTATATATCTATAAATTACTATGAGTGTTTTTACTTGTACTGTTTTCAGTATCAGACTAGACCAAATCCGACCACACTAGACAAGATTTGTATAATTATTAAATATATATAGATCAAGCATTCATCAAACCAAAAGATATCAGATCAATGATCAGAAAAATTTCAGTTCAAAAAAAGTTAAACATGTGAGCTAAGTTTCATAGCCCAATGAATTTTGGAAGCCCATGAGAAATGACAAAATGCGGATCATAAAAAATAACGGGAAGAGCGGAACGCGGAAGGAAGGTCTTCCGATACCAATTGGATCCAATCGAATTTGAAACGGATTCTCCCGCTTCTTTTAACCAGACAACAACTGATAAACCAGCAGACCACTGAAATCACTAATCATACCAGCCACTTTTCCTGGCGCTGAATTAATTGATTGATGCTTTGTTCTCCAAAAAAACTTCGGTATTCCATTTCTAGGGTTTCTAGGGTTGATCTCCGGCCACTTTCATCCTAGCTTGCGCGCTAGTTCAGAATCACAATGCATATCAAAGAGATATGTTTGGAAGGTTTCAAATCTTACGCTACAAGGACGGTGGTTTCCGGGTTCGACCCGTATTTCAATGCTATTACGGGTTTGAACGGGTCTGGCAAGTCGAACATCCTGGATTCCATTTGCTTCGTTCTTGGAATTACTAATCTGCAGCAGGTTAGAGCTTCGAATCTCCAGGAGCTGGTCTATAAACAAGGCCAAGCCGGAATTACTAAGGCTACGGTTTCTGTCATTTTTGACAACTCGGATCGTAGTAGGAGCCCTTTGGGGTATGAGGATTCCCCAGAAATCACCGTTACTCGTCAGGTGAATTTACTCGTTCCAACTCAATTTTCCATTCCACGCAGTTACTATTTGCTCTAGTCTCTATACTAGCTTGTAGCAGTGTAGGCACATTTTTTTATGAGGGTGCGTGTAGTTTTCATAGATGTGTTATTGTAGAGTTCTTATGTAGTCTGTCAGTGCATTTTCATTCATTTGCAACCAATTGTAAAGATTTTGACATTCGAATGCAGATTGTAGTTGGTGGGAGGAACAAGTATCTAATCAATGGTCACCTAGCTCAGCCAAGTCGTGTGCAGAACCTTTTTCACTCTGTACAACTTAATGTGAACAATCCCCATTTTCTTATCATGCAAGGCCGCATTACCAAAGTCCTGAACATGAAACCTCCTGAAGTTTTGTCTATGCTCGAAGAGGCTGCTGGGACAAGAATGTATGAGACTAAGAAAGACGCTGCACTTAAAACACTTGAAAAGAAGCAAAGCAAGGTTGATGAGATTGATAAGCTCCTTGACCAGGAGATTCTTCCTGCTTTGGATAAGCTTAGAAAAGAAAGGAAGCAGTATGTGCAGTGGGCAGATGGAAACGCAAAACTGGATAGGCTAATGCGGTTCTGTGTTGCCTATGACTATGTTCAAGCTGAGCAGGTCAGAGATAATGCAATCAAGGGTTTGGAAGAAATGAAAGCTAAGATTTATACAATCGATGGTAATGCAGATAAGATGCATGGGGAGATAAAGCTATTAGAAAAAAAAGCATCAGATCTTCAGGCTGAAAAAGAGGCAAACATAGGCGGGGAAGTGAATAGTTTGTCTAGAAGAGTTGATGCTCTTTCACATGATCTGGTGAAGGAAACATCTGTGTTGAAGAATCAAGAGGACACTCTTGGGACTGAGAAAGAAAATGTTAAAAAGGTAAGAAGGGTTTAAGGCCATAATTTGATTCATCCGTCGTTC